GTGCCATTCCACATTATTACAAATAACTTCATTTCTGGACATTTATGGTTTGATTTCTTTGTATGTTTGGATCACTTGAGTTGTTACCGACAACTGTTGGAAATTTCATGTCATTAGCACCTCTAGTAATATATTTACTGAGAAAAATATTGACGTGTTCAATACTTATTTTACCTGCTGTAAATCTGTATCTGTATAAAAACATTTGTTTCAGCTAAAGCCAATTATGTGTAGCAGACTGAATTCTAATACTTGAAATTCTAATTCAAAATTATGTTTCCATTTCAATCTTAAGGCCATTTTTGGTTGTGTTACTATTTAAGGAAGTTAATAAAGCTGACAGACTGAACAGACCTGACTAGGTCATGACCCAGCTCTCCATATACTCTGTCAAATAGTGACTTAGGTCMAGACCATGCCTAATATGAATCCAACAGATCTAATTAAAGCTATAAACAGACACAGAAGTGTTAGTCATCCGTTTTCTGTTCTTGTAAAAGAAACACCAAAATTTGAACTTTAAGTTATGTGGATAAAATGTATCAGAGCAAATTAATAACATTAAATTTARAACTTTAAAATAATTACTGTTACTGTATGCCTGCTACCCCCACACTACACTATTGATTTTCAATAAAGTCATGATATGTATGTTCTTTAGAAATTGGAGCGGACATCCATCCCGCTGTCTTCTGTGGCCTCMTGCTTATGTTTCCAGGTAGAGTCACTTTTATGTCTTTCAGTTAAAACATCAACAGTTTGCTTCAGAAGAATATGYTAATATGTGAGTGTGTTTTTTCACGTGCCACAGGCATGGTATGAGGACAGTCCAAGGCGTGCTCTTAATTGCCCCTTCAAGGACAAAGGTCAGAATATTCACATTTCTTTCTCAACAGAATATTTCTGACATCCTTTAAGGGTTAATCTACCTTTTATATGTCTGGATCATCTTTTATTTCTCTGTTTATTTCAGAAGTTCCACAATATTTGAAACAGAACATGTGGAGCAATTTGTCAGTGAATGTTACCCTGAGCAAAACGAGAGAAGGGAACGCAATGCTGTTGTGGAACCTGTCTGCCCTCTGCAGGCTGAAGGGGGAAGTGCAGCTCTGCTACAAAAGTAACTGCAAGAGAATTATGCACATGCAGCAGCTCTCTGATGGTGCATGGAAACAGAACAGCAAGGGACTCTGGGTAAGAACTGGCTACATGTGAAGTCTTTTTCTCTTCAGCATTTTTTAAATGTGAACCCTGCCCAAAATATCTTCTTATATGTTGCTTCACAAGTACCTGACATGCAGTTCTTACTGTTTTCTACATAATATTGTTGGAATTTGTYGATATGAAAAGTCGAGATAAAAAAGTAATACTGCACAAGTCTTGTGCATCATTTTAATCAATTTTTAATAAAGCTAGAAACGTTTGGTACACTATAGGTCCAGTTGCACAACACCCCACATAGCAGACAGGTGTGGGCCAGAGCTGGTGTCAAGCTGACTGACTGCTGCCATGGCAAGAGGTTTGTTAACTAGGCCAGGTCTGGCAACTGTGGCTCTGTTTTTTGAGGTGAAATGCCACAACTGGCCCGGTTGTGGTTCCGTTTATGTGGCATTGGCCCATGCATTGACCACGTCTTGCAAACTAAATCTGGGTCACCAAAGGGCTGTCATTCTTTGCTGCATCTGGAATGAGTGTTAAGAGTGTTAGTGCATTGTGTGGGCCAGAACTGGGCCAGACAAACTAATGGTTTAAATCTCTCCCTTTTAGGATCAAGAAGGAGCCTTTGAAAACATCTCTGAAGAGTTTTCACAGTGTATCATGGTAAGCAATTACAAAACCTCTTTATCATAAACATAAAAAATAACGATGAACGGCTCAGCTATGTTTATTTATTTATGCAGGTACACATAGAAGAAAAGCAATTTGGCCCATTTTGCTCTATTGATTGTAAGTATGAAAAGCTTTATGATTAAAGATGTTGATTTTGGTCTAGAGAGATAACRAAGCGTTTGTTACTGGCTATTTCAAAAATGTGAATTTCTGTTTTGCTCTTTGCAGCTGGCAGGTGGCGCTGGAGCCTCCTGGCTGTCAGTGCTATGCTCCTTGTTGCTTTGACTGTGCTCATGATTTATTTCCTTCATGACTTTGTCAAAAGTAAGTTTTTCACATGTTCACCTGTTTCGTGTTAAAAGTGTAAACAATTTTTAAAAAGTACACAGTCTGTGTAAAAAATACACCACAGAGTCTGATTTTTGATCTTACCAGTTTAGGACAAAAGATGAATTGTTTGGTGGTTGGAAATTCCCAGAGCACATCCTACAAAAGCTCCTTTCATTCATTCATTCTCCCCATGGACTTCATCATGTTTATTAGATCTTGAATCTTTTGACTCATGTAGTAAAAAAAAGTGATTATATAAAGCTGTATGTACTCTTGTTGTAAATAAGCTGTCAGTTATATTTACCTGTGACGTTCTGACTTTTATAGAATGGGCGTGGAGCTGGCGTTATGGAGGATTTGTGAAGAGTGAGTTCCCTTTTTATTTTTTTTACTTTTGGTATRAATAAACATGAATTCACAACAATACATGTCACCTCTGACTGTTGCTTTTCCATTTTAAGTTGGCAGAAAGGGTCATGTGGTGCTGCTCAGCCCCCCGGATGAGGATGTTGGTGTCTTAAAGTSTGTTGATCAGCTGGGCTCCTTCCTCTGCAGCCAGGGCTTCAGTGTGTCCGTGGACCAGTGGAGCAGGAGGGAGCAGTGCTCCCAGGGACCTCTGGTGTGGCTGTACTCGCAGCTGCAGAAGATGGACAGCACGGGCGGTCGAGTYGTGCTCCCTTTGACCCAGAATACCTCAGAAAGAGCAGAAGAGTGGAACCGCTTGAACACAGATGAGGATGCAGAGAATCCACATMAGTTGATGGATCCTTACGCTGACTTGTTTACTGCATCACTGTTTATTATTCACAAACTCAAAATGCAGGGCAGAGCGGCTGAGCGCTTTGTTCTGGTGAACTTTGACACCAGCCGTAAACACAACTCTGATATGAATCTACCAGAGCTGCTACGGGGTCTGCCTTTGTTCCACCTCCCCTCTCAGACTCAGTCGCTCCTCACTGAGCTGACTGTTGCAGAAACACAGACGGGTCCCAGTACAAGGACYTGGATTAAATGGAGGTGAAAAAAAAAACTAAAACTGATGGAGGGAAAAGTCTAATCTACCATCATTATGGAAATATTTTCTGGATTAAAGTTTGAATGTCTCAAACACTTGTGGAGTGAAGGAAATGTGATGAAGAAGAGACACTTTGACTCCAGATATTTAAAATAAAGATGGACAGAAAAATGTTTTCCTTGGTGCAGTTTTCTGAAAACCTACAAGCATAAATTAGGCTGCACTGATGCAGCATAAAATGAAGCTGCAGTGACAATATTTATTTTAAAGAAGACAATGTCTGTAGAACAGAAAAGATCTGAGATATTTTGATCGTGCGCATCAGTTTCTTCTTGCTCTTTTTGTGAGACTTACTTTAAATGGTAACACTGTAACGATTTTATTTCTAATGCTAGAAGGCTGCAACAGTTAATATCTTACTTGCTGTGTGAAGAACCTTAAGTTGAAGAACGTTCTGAAGCTGTCCCTGCTCTTTGGAAGTTCAAGACTGATCCAAACAAATTTATAAAGTAAGAAACAAAATCTGCAGATTGCATGTCAACACTGTGTAAACCACTTATTTGTTTATTGCAACCCACTGCTTTCAAAGTTTGTCACAGAATGAGACCAAGGAAAAAGGTTGAAACTAAAAATGTTTATTAAACTCAGAAAAAGCTGAACTTCTTACATGCTAACACAGCCGATAACATYGCCATATGTGCTCAGATTGAAGCAATAAAAGCGAAACTCAGCAAAAATGAAACCTATTATTACCTCATTGGTTGCTTGGGAAATTGCGTCACCACCACTTCCTTGGTTTACCACGTAAATGGTTATTGGTTGGATCCTGTGTCATTCACCAGAGCAAGAATACGCTTGCTATCTGTTCCAGTACCCCCCAGAGGGGCGGTGTTTTAAGATGTTTACGGATGCCCCGAGCCCCGCTCGCTCGGGAAATGTTTAGTTTGAAGTTTGCAGTAAAAACAAAGACAGTACGGTTAACAAGTCAAGTGTCGGCTGGATTCACTTGGTTCAAAGTTGACTGAATACTCTTCTGTWCAAACTGTGACGACACGGAGGTAAACACGCTGATTTATCCTCAGCAGGATGTTTTTAAATCCACTTTAGTGGAAGCGGTTAGCTTTAAGTTCACAGCGTGCTGATACATTTTTAGTTTGAAATCTGAACGCGGCTGCAACTGTTCTGCGCATTACTCACATATTTAACAGAGTTCTCCAAAGTTTACGTTGTAAAAAGTTGTTTAAATGAGATTTGGATTAAGCAAATGTGATAAATACTAAAAACAATGTGTTGCAAGAAGTAACGAAGAATACGGAAAAAGTTGGATTTGCCTACAAGAAGTATTTAAATTGTGTAAAATGTATAGTTTGTGTGGTTTATAATAATAATAATAATAATAATAATAATAATAATAATAATTATTATTATTATTATTATAAACAGTTTTTGTGTTTGATAGCAGATGTGAAACAGTGAAATGGAAACTAAATATGTATTGGAGTAAATTATATAATCCTTTGAATAGTAATAAAGTATTAATATTTTAAAGTGCATGAAGAATATTTACTCAAATAAAAATACTGTCTTGTTGAATATATAGTCATAGACAGTATCACCTCATCACTGTAGCTCACCAAAACAATCAGCAGCTTTCAGCATTTTTAGAAACACCTGACACGTGTGTGTTCTGTCTCTGACTCCTAATAAACTACAATAATTTGCATTTAACAATAATGTGGTCGTGTCTTCTTTAGGACTGTAAATTGGTTGCATGAGTGAGAGCATGCCTTGTGATTTGACAGCTTGTATSTTCTGCTCAGATGGAGGTGAGGTGGTTTGTCTGTAACCTGCTGCTGTGGAGTCTGCTGGCTGTCCAGGTGTGCAGCTGTCCAGATGCTTGCAGCAAGTGTTCGGTGCCAGGAAGTGACGACTGTGAAGAGTGCAGACCTGGGTGGAGTCTTCATAACTACACTTGTGTTGGTAAATGTTTTACGCAGCTGTTTGCACCTGGTCTGAACAGCATAAATAGCTACAGTGTGGCATGATCAGGCAGTAAATGGCTTTATTTGATTTGTTCCAGACATTGACGAGTGCGGCGTTGAGCTGGACAACTGTCAGCTGGACAGTTACTGCTTAAACACACAAGGATCCTTTGAGTGCAGAGGTCAGTGCCTCAGTGATGGTGGAAAAAATACACGTAACAAATTTTGTAGAAATGTAACCAAAGTGAAATGAATCTTCTGATAAACTCAGTCAGTTTGAGAAGCATAGACTGGTTTATGAGAGCAACCATTTGTGATAAAACACATCCTCACATTAAAATATTTTTGCCTTCATGAATAACTATTTAGCCAATCACCAATATATTGTTTGTCCTAAAAAATTAATCTACACAAACCAAAATTCTGTAAGAATTTATAATAACATATTTTCAACATTTTGGTCACAGAAGAATTCAAATTATATTAACTATATTACCTCACGTATTTTTGTGGAGCTGATTTCAGCTGCAAATCAGCTGATAAGTTTAGTGCCTTTTCCATTCTGGATGTAAATAAGTTACCTGGAAAATCATGTTGTTTAGTTGGTTTACAGTTTGATTTTGGAAAAAAAAACTATACAACAGGTAGAATTTGAGGCAGCTCGCATGAGGCCTCCATAAAACGTGGCGGTCAGAAACAAACAGCGAGCTTCTAGAGTTTTAAAAGCAATGACATAAAACTTTATAATATGCAAATATTTTATTGAGGCTTGAATGCCTTCATCAGTATGAGTTCAGTGCTGGGTTCAAATTTCCATACGTGTACACAGCACAGGTGCATTTTGGGTCTTGCTCAGAAAAACTATCTTCAACATTTTAGAAGTCTCATATTTATTTAACCCAGAGGAGAAACTGAAACTTATTATTGGAAAATGAAATGTTGACTCCTAACTGATCAGTTTTTTTCTCTTATGTTTGTGTTAGATAGTAATGCAGTGTGGTATGTCAGAAAAATTATTAGATTTTTTTTCTTCTATTATAAAATTCTTTTCTTCTTCTGCTACCTTTCATTTAATTTGATTTGTATTGTTTTGTTGTATGTAAATGTGTTTTTTTAATGAAACAAATAAAGTTAATAAAATGTAATAATAAAATAACTAAAAGCTTTCTGGTTCATCAGATTGTGACGTGGCCTGTGTGGGCTGTATGGGTAGTGGACCGGCTCGCTGCAAAAAATGTGCTCCTGGATACAGACTGACAGGGTCCAAATGTTTAGGTAACTRCAAATAATAAAAATCAAACAACTGTGCATGATATTTGGATCATTTTTTAATGCATCCATAATCCTTCCATCTTTGCTTTGCTCAGACATAGACGAATGTAGTGACCTGGTGCTCGCCTGTCATGGTCTGGATGAGATTTGCGCCAACACAAAAGGCTCGTTCCGCTGTGACTGCGCTGACGGCTTCGTCCGAAACAACGGTGCTTGTGTGAAGAGACAGCTGCCTGGTGAGTGCGCTTCTTTGCTGTTGCTCGAAAATCAGAGAAAAGAAGAAAATTCACCATTTCTTTTCCCCTCCTCTGTCTCTCCCTGCAGGTGTTCAGGAGAAAGGTCTGTTTGAGGATATCCAGGAGGACGAACTGGAGGTGCTGCAGCAAATGTTTTTTGGGGTGGTGCTTTGTGCGTTGGCCACACTCGCAGCTAAGGGGGATCTGGTCTACACATCTGTGTTTATAGGTGCAGCGGCAGCCATGGCGGGTTACTGGCTCTCTGAGAAAGGGGACCGTCTGATGAACAGCTTCCTAAAGGGGCGTTAAAGCTCAGAAACTGTAACTCAAAAGACATATCTAACAGCAGACGTACCGTTTTGTTTCTTGTAKTTTTAAGTATTTTATTGTGGACGTGAATCTGGAGCTATGGTGCAGAATAAAGCCTGCTCTGGCTAATGGCAATCAAAAACAGTAGAGTTGTATAACATCTGAGATGCCGCTGAATGAAACTGTTAAAGGCCACAAGCAGAACAAACAGACTTGGCATGTTTTACCTTGTAAACACTTCAAACAAAGCAGGGTTAACAACAAGTTAAAATATTTAGTCACTGGTTGGTAGTTTTTTTTATGATTATCCATCTACTTAAAGGCTGAAAACGAGCTAAAAAAACATCAAAGTGCTGTTTTTAAACTGTGCTTGTTCAAGAGAAGACATGCTCCCATTTTYACTGAGACTAGTCAAAGATCTATCTGCAACAGGTAAGATATTAACTGTTTATACCTTTTTCACTGGTTGTGTTGTAGAAAACATTTCAGATTTTTTCCCCCCATTGGCATAATTTACCATATATACATGCTCAAATAAATACTACATGTTTTTACAATTTGGAGTATTTCTGTTCTTATTCTAGTTGGCAGGTAATGTTGTTATTACCTCCGCCAAGGGTGAGGTAATGTTTTCGGTCGCGTATGTCAGTCTGTCGGTCTGTCATTCTGTCTGTGGACAACATTACTCAAAAACTTGTGGACGGATTGTCATGACATTTTTACCACATGTGGGTACTGGCTCAAGTAACACACCTTTAAATTTTGGTGATTTTCCAGATCACTATGCGGATACAGGAATTGTTTTTTTTTTCTTTTAACACTCTGAGATAGGCAAAGCTGTGATGCTTTCACAGGGCATGTGTTTCAAAGTGTCCAGCAGGTGGCACTGTAGTATTGGTGTGCTCCTTTGTAACTCTATTACAGGATGGGGGAAATTGGTCTTGGCTGAGGTTTGCACTCTCCGAGTGCTTCTAGTTGCATCATATTTTCACCTTATTTATCAATAACCTGAAACTTCTTCTATGAATAGACGGTTAAAGTAACACGTTTGCATGAAAACACAACTGTTAAAGGTGGAACTGTGTTTAAAGTAGGGCAGAAAATCAGCAACAAAGACAGAAAGAAAGTCACCTTTATTTGATGGATATAAACAAGCTGGCCAACACTCAATAGTATTATTCTGATACAGCACAGACAATAGCAAACTGGGGCACTGAGGACAGCCTCCTATAGTTAAAACAAAAACAAACAAACAAACAAAAAAAAAAAACAACTGTTACGTATTATCCATGCGTCATTCAAAACTTGCCCAGTCTCACTTTTTTTCTCCCCCATTCAAGGACATGTTGATAAAGTGTTCTTTTTAAATAGAATTTTCTCTTTTAAATTCATAACAAACACACACACACACACACACACTTGCAGTTAAACGCAACCACTCACACAACTCTCTTTTCTGGATACAACCTCCCCCCCAAAAAAACATGCTGCACTCTCACAAAACTGCACAGGCTGTCTACTAAGGGGACACAGTAAGTGAGACACACGTCAGTCTCAAACACGACATCACACCGTCACAATGCACAATGCAGATGCAGCTAATGGAYGAGGAATGACGCTTGTTGGAGACGAGCTCACGTTCAAACAAATGATCATTCAGCATGCTGGACACACATTGAGTTAGTTCCTAGCTTTTTTTTCCTTTTGATTTGTTTTTGTTGTTGTTTTTTTTACTGTTTTACTGTACAGCTCAAAACATTTACTTTTAGAAATAGTACAGTCTCAAACTGGCATTTTAAATAAGCAGAAATGATAGAAAAAGTAAAGCTTAACGTAAACATGAGATTTAAAAAAAGTAAAAAACACAACATTTGCTCTGTCAAAACAAACAAAAAAAAAGTTTCTGGCATTGGTCACAGTGATTTGTTGGATCAAAAGTTTTCAGCAACCAAAAAATAAAACTTGTTTACAGCAATAAAGATCAAGTGAATGATAGGCTTTTATTTATTTTACTTCTTTTGAAGGCCTTTTAAAAATGAGCAGTGAATCGACATGCTTTTCTACACAGCTGCTTCTAGGCACAGATGAAGCCTTTACTTCTTATACTTTGACACAAACTAAGTGCAAGTCTCGCTTTTATTTCTAGGGTTAGTCTTTTAAGTCTAAGCCCAGATAAGCAGCCCCTGTTTCTAAACCTTAGTCTCTCTTTAGCTTTCTTTTTTTTGTCATGTTTGACACAACAGTAGAGAAATCCCTCTGCATAGAGAACAGGAGATTATCTACATGTCATCCTCACCTTCATTTGGCACATAATGCAAAAAGTCAGCATGCATGGGCACAATTAAAATGTTCTATGTTGTCTACCATGTAAATCATGTATGCTATGGTAGGAAAACTCCCTACTTCAAGTATTCAGTAGATAAGGACCTGAAAATGGAGGCTTTGTGCTCCACCATGCCCTGATGGTGAAGTTAAGAGGATTTTTGCTCCTCTGTCTGTTTGCATTGTCTTTCCTTAAAAATATAATAAAAATAAAAAAATGATACAAACAAGTTTTTGATTCTGGTCAGTGATAGAGGTTATTATGGGAAGAAGACATGTATAAGATGATCTGTGAAGTAGGGGTAGATTTAAAGGCATACACAACACCTGATACTTAACACACAGGCACGGTGAGGACAGAGGGAGGAAGAGGGGATTAGTAACAGTCTGACTCTTTTTTTTTCCCCATAATACTGTAACACCACACGTTTCTGTACTTAATCAGCTGCCACAGTCACATACATCACCATCTTTGTTCACATGACGACGACGACAAAAACACGCAAAGGAAATGCATCCAGACAGAGTCACTGAAACCTCGTGTTTGTAGGATAGTTTGATCGCCCTCAGTCACAAGTGCAAGCAGACAGAATCTCACTGCTGCCTGTGTGAGCTACAAAATAAAAAGCAGTTTGCTTCTGCTTTTAAAGTTGTCACCACAGGCCAAGTGGTCTTCAGCTGAGTTGTTCTGACATTTAAGGGATAGTTCAAACGTTTTGAAGTGGGGTTCTGGGGAAAGGTTCTGAGCTATTGCAACTGCACCTGTTACAGAAATCAAGCTTATTTTAACAACTAACTAAATATAATATTTCTTCTTCTAGAACTGAAAGTTCCGCAATATGGACTTGCAAATCACCACATAATTCTAGGTAAATAACTATATTTGTTTGCATGAACTAGTATGAGCTGTTCACCACTGGAGTTTAAAAAGTGCAGAAATCCACTTTGGTCTCAGCCATGACCGGCCCTAGCCAACTGGGTGCCCTAGGTAAGATTTCAGGTGGCACCCCTTGTGCAACTTTCTAAATCTAACAATTTACATACATTCACATACCTTATTAAATAGTTTTGTCTGTGATATTATGTTTTATATTTAGAAACCAGGTTGTCTAAATAAAATAATTAACGATATAATTTATTTGGAACAGAAAAACAAACAAAAAAAAATAAACTACCATCTGCTGACAGCAATGAGGAACACCTGTTCATGTTAACGAGCAGCTGTGGAGTGAAGCAGTTCTAGGGGGGTCCAGGGGTAAACTCCCCCGGAAAATGTTATCAAAGATCTATTTAAAACTGCATTTTCTGGTCATTGGAAGAGCTTTTTACTAAAATCTTGGGATTAATGAAAGAACATAAAATCAATATTTTATGAAGGTAGAACACTGAAAACTAGACTTTAACCTGAACTTTATCTGAAAAGATTTTGTTTTATGTTACATATTGCACTTATCACCAGCAWTTAGTCTYGACTGCATCATGATACTTTTATCATGAAATATCCTCTGCACCACAAAACACCTCATGTAGTAACAAAGCTGGGCAAGTTACCTTCATTAACCTGAGTAACCAGTGACTATTCTACAAACTAAATCAACTATACTCTAATAAAAGTCATACATTTTTTTTCTTAACATTTGCCTATWCTGCCKATGCCACAGGGCAGCCCTGTTTCAGCTTTTCTCCCACTTGCTATTAGCAGTAGATAGTACAACTTTTCCACAGAACCCCACTTTAAAAGAGCTGAACTCTACCTTTATTAGGAAGGAATGTAATCATATCTTGTCTAGTGTATTCATTTTTCTGGATACATTTCTAAATGTACTTTTTTTACTGCTGCTCTAAAGCTGTTTTTATTTGGGCTGTCCTGCATTTTCAGACAAGGAATGTTAACTTGGTGCTGAAGGGTTTTCTCACAGCATAGATGAAACTCTAAATAAAGCATCTCTGACCTTCAGCCAGTTAGAAAAATAAATATAAAGGAGGGGGGGAATCATATCTTGTCAGTTTGAAACTTTTTTTGACCACATATAGACACACTCTATAGATTTCTCTCTAGTATTTGTATAATATATGCATATCTATTTTATGTATACATATTTTACGAGGCACAGGCCACCTTGTTGAGGAGATGACGAGTCACTATGTGTGGGGGAGGTCACACAGACTACTGCTGGAAGTGAAGAAGGGCGAGGAGAGCAGGCCCTTAACTGTAGTTCAGATTTCAGAAACATCTACTGGACTCTTTCACCACGTCATAGTMTATAACGATACCTATTGTAATATTTCTCAAGGGAAATGTGTATGATTCGTGTTAACATTGTTCACAAAGCCTCCCCACTGTGGAACTGTATGTACAAAGCAGTCTTTTACAGTTGTTTATGAAGCCCGACGTGGGATCAAGTCCCTCAACTGTTAAAAGGACTGAAAGATGCTCTGGTTAGGTCTTCTGATACCGTTTAGTTTGAGCACCAGCAGAAGCACCATTAGGAAAAGTTCCTGCAACACAGAGGAGGTGCATAGTCTCATAAAATCATAAGAATCTGATGACCGTGTTCTTGGTCGCTCTGATTGGATGATTAATAATTACACTAATTCAAATACACATGGATAATTAAACAAAACATCCCCTCTATGTTGACATCTGCATAGATTGATTTTTATGTGACTATTTCTGATTGACATGAGGTAACGTGAATAAAAAGATGCTGATAAGAGCTGCAGCTTTGAGGGTTAGAGTCAAAGCCTGTACGGATCGTGCTGCCAAGGAAACACAGCAGGAAAGGCTCAAGGTGCTCCCATTGGTTAGCCAAAAGTACTTCCTTGTGCCAACAAAAAAATGGCAACAGAAAACCTAAAATGGCTGAAATGAGGCGTGGGAAGCATGAAGAGTTCATTAAAGGATGGAGGGTCATGGAGGATGTGGGAAGGTGTAATAATCAATCCCTGTGTCCCGCAAATGATGACTACAGCCCACTGATCACTTAAATAGCACACTGAGAGTCATGAGAGCTACATGAAGGGGACAGATGTCACCACAGGGGCAGGAAGGCAGCGTGAATGGAGGAAACAGGTCAGCGTCAGGCTGAGGGGCCAATCGGAGCCCAAAGAGYGAGTCAGGCAGGTAAAACAGTCGGAGGAAGAAGGACGATGGAAAGAATTCTGGGCTGGCAGAGACTGTCATGAGATCTCAGCTGGGAGGATGAAGAAGTCTCCTTCAGCAGGTGACCGACAGGTGAGGTGACTTCTCTGAGACCTCCGTTTCATGGTGAGCACATCTGTCAAAGCAACATTTTGACATCCGGCTTTCTCTCTAGTTCGTGAATGAAAGAGTAGGATGTTTTTCTTGTTCAAAGCGGAGGTCCCGTGGCACCTTCAGAATATAAAAACAGAGTTAGCTTCAGCTCGGAAGGAAGGTAATCCCAGAAATGCATCGTTTGTGTTTTTTATTACCCTCTCAGCTGCCAATCCCAACACAGAATCTGTACACCTGAGTACCTCCTCCTTCTCCAAAAAATAAAAATAAAACAAAAACAAAGGTCCCACTGTTTCCAAGTACTGATTCACTGAAAGTAACAAAGATTTAACTGGGTGGTGTTTTAACATCATGGGTTGGCCGTGCTCCTCCAGTAGTGACTGAATCATCTGAATTAAAAATAATAAATAAATAAATAAATAAATAAATAAATAAATAAATAAATAAATAAATAAATAAATAAATAGGTTGTAGGTGAATGGTGTTTAAAACTAATAAACAAGCTTTTCTTACCCCTCAAAACAACTTTGGTTGTCACAGCTATGCCCAAATGCCCTCCTCGTCATCCTGTGTGAAGAAGAGACTTTTTACCCACTGATATACTGAACATGTCAACATTAAATTCATTTGTTGGTGTGTAATTAACTTGTTGTAACTGCTTTGACCGGACTGTTTTTAAAARTACTYCCTATTTAATTTTAGAGCCACCATATAAACCTAATTGATTAAAGGGGTTCATACATACAAGAGGTTTGATATGTTCACATAAGATGATCTGTTTTCGTGTTATTAGCACTACAGTTTTCTGTGATGTTTTTAACTTTAATGAATACTAACCTGGTCTGGGGACGGGCGGTGGCCAGCATGTGGGGGTCCTCGGACCGGTCCTCCTCGATGGTGGGGCGAGGGATGCCGTGGGTGCTGGGCGAGGTGCGGGTGTTGTGGGTGCTGAGGGTGTTGAGGGTGTTGTGGGTGCTGTGGGTGTTGAGGATGCTGAGGATGTTGGGGGTGTGGTCCTGGTTGGGGAGGGCCATGTGGGTGCTGAGGGTGCGGATGCTGGGCTGGGGGATGTCCATGAGGTGGCACGTGTTGGGGGTGTTGTTGGTGGGGGTGCTGGGGCTGTGGGGCGCGGGGATGTTGTTGGTGCTGGGGCAGAGACTGAGGGTGCTGAGGGTACTGTGGTTGTGGTTGCTGTGGATGTGGGTGCTGAGGTTGGGCCTGTGGGTGTTGCAGGTGCTGTGGGTGTGGGGCGTGTGGGTACAGAGACTGCTGGGCATGGGCTGGGTGGGGGTACTGGGGCTGGGGCTGAGGCTGAGCATGTGGGACCTGCGGCTGGTGGTGAGGAGCGTGGGGATGGTACGGCTCATCCTCGTAGTTGTCGGATATCAGCTTCATTCTGCTTTGAGTCTGTGGCAAGAACAAACCGGTGAGTGCTTATGGACATTTATAAATAGTGATTTTTCACACAAAAAAGAAAACATTACAAAGGCAACACATTTGTTGTAATTTAATTTAACAACCATCTAACAAACACTGAGGCTTACAGTTTAGCTTCAGAATCACCACAGGGCTGGACTGGGCAGRGTAGTGTAAGGAATGGAAGGGTAGGGTAAGGCAGAATAGGGTAGTGTAAGGCAGTGGTTCCCAAAGTTGGGGTCGGGACACACAATGGGGTCCCAAAACATGAAGGTGGGGTCCTGAAAAGATTATCTGAATTAATTATTATAAAATAACAATTAACATTGTTTTTACCTTTGTTGTTACAAAACAGTAAGGTTAGTTTACTTAAAATGGACAAAAACAGCATGATAAATATTGTTACTATGCTCTTACTTTTTTGATGTGAAAACAATGTTTATGATCCATCAACAGCTGGGGGCTCAGGTCTCTGCTGCTGATATTTGAGGGTCAAAGGCTGAAAAGTTTGGGAACCACTGGTATAAGGTACGGAAGAGTAGGGTAGGGTAAGGCAGGGTAGGGTAGAGTAAGGGGGGTGCTCTCCCTGGTGGGCCACACGGGAGTGACCAAGTTTGACACATGTGGTAGGGGTATGGTGGGTAGGGTAGGGTAGAGTAAAGCTGGAAACATACTCGCTCCAAACTGCCAACGTCGGCATGGGTTGTCGCAGTTGAATGATGAAAATTACGTCACCGGGCTTCGCAGTCGGTTCAACAGCCCCTTTTGGCACAACCCCCCCTCCCGTGTYGACGGTAATGTGTGATTGGTCTGAAGTTCATGGGCGTGTTTGTTTGTGCTGAAACTGAAAGCGATCGGACACTCAAAAGAAAAAAAACTCACTTGTAGAGCMGACTGTTGAAGCAGAGTTTTATAAAGATAATCAAACTGAGAAAAACTCATGGCGTGTTTGTTTGTGCTGAAAGCGTTACGCTGACTTCAACCACTCTGTAAAAAAAGGAAAGAAAACCCCCCCCCTGACTCGCTCCCAGAGCCGACTGATACCAGGAAGCAGAGTTTTATAAAGATAGTCAAACCGTGAAAAACTCATGAATGGAGTTTAAACAGACGTTGTGCACGGAGGAATCTGACTGATAAAAACTGTTGAGCTTTAACCAGGACAGATGCGGATAAATACGTTGGGTGAGTGACGAGTCTGACTTTTTTTCTGCATTGTCGGCTGTTGCGGGGAGAACTCCATGCAGTGATGTATATTTTAGCGGGAGGGGGGTTTCCCAAGCTCGGTGCGGGGTTTCTCAGGGACTATGAAAGGTGTGTGCGAAAACGACTGCCGAACAACCACGTGACCGCGCATCGACCCGTCGGCGTGAGTATGTTTCCAGCTTTAGGCAGGGTAGGGTAGGGTAAGGCAGAGTAGGATAGTGTAAGGAATGGTAGGGTAGGGTAAGGTAAGGTAGGATAGAGTAGGGTAGGGTAGGGTCAGTATTTCAGAGAAAACCCATGCATGCACAGAGRGAACATGCAAACTCTACCCAGAAAGGTCCCCGGGCTGGGATTCAATACAGCAACCTTCTTGCTGAGAGGCAACACCTCTACCAAACTACCATGTCAACCATAATTTATTTGGCAATTCAGAAAAACCGTATGCTTTTGTTTAGCGAGTAAATCTGTTTTTTTCTTGTGCTAAACAGCCAACCCATAGAGATGGCTATTATTATTAGTAGATGTTTTCTTGTAGATACTGTATACTGTAATTCACTTACGTTTTTCTTTAAATTTATTTTGTATCTCAGAATTAATGCAACAATAACAAAACAGCAGTTCTTTTTGTCCTGCAGATAATTAATTTGCAGCAGTGTTGGAGCAAGTTCGATACACAAAGAAGCCAAATTGTTGTTTGTCTGAGCTCCCAGACTGAAATTGATCATGGACAAGGAAAAGTAGCATTAGGCTGGACTGCAAGGGTGAAACTGCAATAAATAAATAAAACTATAAGATTTACGCCTTGGCTGCAGTAAGTCTATAACTGATGTTTTAATATAAAATTACATAAAGTATTTGCTTTGAGATGGAGCAGACCTCAAGAATTATTACCACTCTGCTAATTTAACCAGGCTTTGTATGCAGTTTTCAATCTGAATCAGTCTCTGTGCAGAAATGTAAAAAAGAAAAAAAAGAAAAAGAAAACTTCACTCAACATAAAAAAAGAAAATAATTACTGCCTACCATACATTTATCTGCATTGTTAACATAGTTAAAGTCAGCTTCCAGGACAGACAGCACCAAGTAAAATCTTTGGTTTTGCTTTTAAAGGAGTTTTTAGTTTTGTTTAGTATTGACTTGTATCAGAAGCAGACCAGGAGCTAAAAATCTTTGCAGAATTTCCGGCGTGGATGCCCAGAAAGCTTTCACTTTTACTCTACTGAAAAATACGGCCACATGCTCCCCAAACCAACACATAATGTGGTTTGAGTAATTATACAGAGTGGATTCACACCAATGTTACCACAGCTTTGAAATAATGAGAATATAAAAAGCCACACAATTACCACTTAAAAGAAATAACACAGAGTTATAAAATTTGCATCTGTCAAGTGGTGGGATGTTTCAGTTTGAAGTTGATTTAATGTACAAGCTGTAATATCAGGGAAAGTGCCAAATCTGCAAAAAAATGGTAGTCATGCAGCAACCCATGTGATGAAATTTCAGACTGACTGGTGCAGCTTTATTCTTATTTTTTCTTAGTCCTGAAGGCAAAGCAGTAGGACTAACGTGTTGTTTGAGCTGGTGCATCAGTTTGTCTCGCTCCCTCTTCAGAGCCAGCACCTCCTCCTGGGTCTTCTTTTTATTGGAGGCGGACAGTTCCAGCAGTGCAATGTTAGCATCCTTCTCACTGATGGCTGCCAGCAGAGCTTGTTGTCTAAAAAAATAAAATTAAATAATCAATGTCCAAAACAGTTCAAAATACAGTTTGGAAGAGGACATGTTAGGATTTTGTGGTTTCCCCCACTTTTTGAAAACTCAAATGTAAACTGTCCCAACAAAGGGAGTTTCTCCTACAAAGAGCCTGATGAAGGTCCTTAAAAAACCTTAGTTTTGTCTAGACTGGGAGACTAAGCTTGAACATTGAGCAGATTTTGGGCACAAAAACACAAAGCACGAATCACCAATGAAGGAAAACAGGTTTGGTCTTTAATATAGTTAGGACCGGTCTTTTTTCTGTCTCTTCCTGTCTCTGTTAAATATTGTAGGGTTGAAACCAAGTTCAGTTTTTTTAAGAGTCTATGACTCAGCCAAGCCACATTTTTTTATAATCCAACACAAACATGTAAACACCTTTTCCTGATACAGACAATTTTTGCAAACACAAAAAGAGGCAACTTTCTTTTATCCACACATGCTCAGGTCCTCACCATGTGAAAGGTTTACTTCAATTTGTATAATTATTTGACTCCAACAACTTCGATTCTTTAAAATTATATTATGTGGATCACTATCTCCTGCAGGTAAGACAATGACTACACATAAATGCCCCACAAATCATTGTTTTAAACCTAACAGAATCTAAAACAAAACACCTCAAAGTGAATCGTGAACTGTTTGACTTAATGTTATAGTTTAAGAAAAAAATAATTATATTGCATTAAATGAAGTGAAAACATAGGGCCTTTGAGAATACTGACTTCATTTCCAGGATCTCCTCCAGCTGTTTCCTGCGCTCTTGTCTCATGTTGGTCAGATGGCTGTCCCTCTCCTGTAACGACTGCTGTGTGGAGGAGAGACGCTGCTTGGTGGCGTCCAGCTCCTGTCTTGTCCTTTCCAGCGTGTTCATCAGCTCCTCCAGCTGACCAACATAAAGCAGGAACAAATAAAAAATGCTCATTGTAAAAACATTAATTTACTTATGAATCATCAGTAAGTTAAGCCTTCACCTTTATGTGGTGGCCACCATCTAAAGAGCTCTCCTTACGAAGGTCCTGTCCTAAACCCTTCTTGTCCCCTTGTGGTCCCAGTTTGATGTTTGGACCCTTCTTAGTTTGATCTTTACCTCCTTGCCTGTAATAGCACACAATTTAAAACACATCATGCCTAAAGCATTTTGAACAACTTTGTCAGAAAATAGTACCAGCCATGATGTCACCAGGGCAGCAACAGTGCATGAGTATCATTTAAAAATTGAGTCTCGTGTCACTGTTGATGTTGCTTTCAGGTTTCAGTGTGAGGACTGGGATGGTTACAAGGGGAGCTGGGAAGTTACTTACCTGGGAGCTAAACTGCAGGTGGGTGGAGAAAAAAAGATAGAAGACAAGAAGATGATGGGACACGTGAGGAAAACATTGGAAGCAATAAAACCAAAACACACAGAAAAAAGTAAAAAACAAAGGTATTAGACCCAGAACGTACAAAAGAAGAAAAAKAATACAAGAAAACTATGATACCCAAAAGAAGAACACGCTGTGCTATAATTATCAAACAACATGAGAGATTGCAGACACGCCTGTGACAGTCACTGCTCTGCAGGCTGATGCAGCTAATGCAAGATGCACTTCTTATTTTATTTTATTTTATTWTTTTGGAAAAACGCTGAACGATTGTGCATCTGCTGCCAAGCCTGGAAGTGGCAGACATGCAGGCAGACAGGCAGAGTTCAGCAGGGCAAAAACATGAGGGCAGCAAAAAAGTGCTGAGCAAAGAGGAGGGGAAGCAATCAGCAGTTTGATCAAGTGGGCAACGAAGGATTTAATTAGTTATTAATGCAGGGGTTGATAACAAAAGAGGCCCAACTGATCTAAAAGACAGAAATAGGGATCCAGTCAAGAGCCTGCCACTACACTGCCTCACTCTGATCATRCAAGTTATTTCAATCATTTCCCTTATTATCTGGTGGCAGGGCAGGTGGGACAAGCTGGGAGGATAAGGAGAGAGGTTAAAACAAGGAGAGACAATTTGATACAAAACAAGCTGGCTGGTGAGGTTCATGGAATGAAAACGTTAAATGGGGAGGATTTGTGTTCAAGGATGTGAACTGCAGCTGAGATGGATGAGGTAGACAGATGGGTGGAATAAGAAGAGGAAGGGGATAATTACAGCAACAAACAGCAAACACAACAAAAATACATAGAACCTAATATGGCTGCATGTGATGCACAAAAAGTAATTACAAACCAAAACCTCAAAAAAATGTAAAAGTCAAAACTAGACATGGACCAGTTGTTACAAGATGTAACAACTGTGGTAAAATATCACAAAGTCAAAACAACAAAAGTTTTTAGTCAAATAATTCTTATGGTTTATTTTATTTTATAGTGAGATGCCAGAGAGAGAGAGTCTTTTTATGTTTTGGTTATATAAAAGGTAGAAGTTCCCCACCCCTCACATGTTGGTGCCAGATGTAAGTCAGATGTGTTTGATATCCCAAGGAGGAAAATTTGTTTAAACTTTTTCCACTTGTTCAAAATAAATAAATAAATAAATAAATAAATAAATAAATGAAAATAATGAAGTGACAAAGCGATTTGGAAAAGTTTTCAGTAGCACAAAAAAACCCATCATGGCTTGTCAATTGGAGAGTTTTTATATGCAATAATATGTACTCTAGAACTATAAAGGAAGTATTAGTTGCATCTCTGTTTATAGTAGGGGGGGGGGGGGTAATATACAAAACTGACTTTTTTAAGCTTTTTATTACGTTATAATGTCATTCCCTCATCAAAAACATGCCCAGAGTGTTGCTTTCACTCATTCATGTGTGAGAAATCCTTGAAACTCCTGTGGTAACCATGTGGAGCTGCCTGAACATCACCTTTTTTATTCAAAGCACTGTCTATTTGTACAAAGCTCCACACTGGAGCTYAGTCTGCAGCCGAGCTACCACCCCACAGAGTACCCCTCCCCTGTAGCAGGAGTGTCAGAAATGGTAGGATGTTGTTAAAGAGGCAGAGGCCAATTTCAAGCATTTAGACAAGCTATGATGCAAACTAATTTAATTTTGATTTAAATCATTTTCATAGCAACTGAAGGTAACAGTTACTTGATTGTGGTATAAAATTGAACTGAACTTGTTTATTTTTTTTACCTCATAATAAGGTTTTAAAAATCCCTTGCACCGGGTTGTTTTAACATGACTCATGGCTAGTTGGAACAATCACACCAAGCTYCATACAAAATCACCTAATAATAGCACAGCAGCAGCAGAATAAATACTGTTGGCATTGATCATATACAATTTATACAGGTGCATTTTTTTACAAAGATATGAATTACAGCTGACAGCACAAGCGCTAAAATTTCTTGCTGAACCCCTTGGTGTGATTGCTTTGACTTTATCATGCATCGTTTCACAAACAGCTAAAAACAGAGAGCACCATCTGCTGCTCAGAAACCACCACAAATATATGCCTGCTTAGGCATACACTTAAAATGGGTGAGTTGATGCGCCGCACCTAAAATCCAAACTATAAACCATTAACACAAAGGATTTATAATAAATTGTAACGTTAAATGTATGGAAATATGTATTTTATGTCATTTTCTAATTTAGAGAATATTATGAAGCAAAATATTTGATGGCCTGTTTCTCAAAGCTTCATGCAGGATAAAATCCCCTCTGCACACTTTTATCATAATAAACGAGCAAGCTGGTAAACTGTTTTTATAAAGCAGTAGCAGACAGTTGTTAACAAATGTGTGCAAAAGAAGAAAAAACAAACTTGAATGCAGGGATCTTTGTATCATGTGCAGGAGCATGTAAAGGCGACAAAGACAGCAGACAGGGTCTGTCACTTTAATACAAAGAGTCCTAAAAAAGAGCAGGCAGGCAGGTGAAACCAGATCAGTTGCAGCAGGCGCAGTCAACATCTCGAAGCACACAGCCGAGCTGAAGTGCCAGGGCAGAGCACTCACTTTCCCAGGAAGTCCCACACCATGCCCCCTATCTGCTGGGGGGCGGCGGACACAGAAGGGAGCGGGTCAGAGGGAGCTCTGCCACCGGGACGAGGTGTAGGGCGATGGGTGGTGGAGGGAGGGCTGGGATTTGTTTATTTTTTTGTGTATTTTTGTTTTTATTATTATTAATGATTTTGGGAGGAGAGGGTTTAACAGATTTGCAAAGGGAGATAAGGAACAGGTTGAAAAATAAGGATTAAGTTTGAAAAAGAAACAAAGGAAGTTAAATGAGGTCAAAATCAATCGATGGCAGGAGGTCAGAAGGAAACAGGACAGAAAAGGAAACGGAATGAAAAAAGTGGGTAAAGATGGCAAAAAAGGACAAGAACACTCAATTAACACACTGCTAACAATTTAGCAAAGAACTCAACAAAGTCGACCATAATAATAATTTCAAAGTTAATATATTGTATGTATTTTATACGATTTTTGGTGGGTCAGTGGCAGAAGAGAAACACAAATAACTTGCATCTGTGCTTCTACAGCAGTTCAAATCATTTTCATGTCAGCTTAAGCATTGTTTCAGGTAAATTACAAAATATGTTCTCTATCAGCCAAGTCAAAGAACAAGTTTTACTCTGAAAGATCTGGACCAATGCTCTTATCAAAACTAAAAAAAAATAAAACAAACATCTGAGACCCTGTGTAGGACAGCAAAATGACACTACCACGATATCAAACTTTTAAATGGCACAAACCAACAAAAGATGTAACTACGGTAATCAAACAGTCCAGATAATAGAGAAAAAAATCTTCAGTCCAAATATGTGGGAAACCAAACTCTCACATCACAGACGCAACATTTCCTGACAACAGTGATCTTATCATTACTATCATTAAACAACAACAAAAGTAAAAGAAAAAAAATTAACTTCAAGACAAGAAACAGTCTCTGGAATTCTTCTGGCTTTCAGACTCAAAACTAAAATTAACGCAAACCTTATCCTCTGAGACCAAAACTCACGAGACCCCAAAATCAGCTTTTATCATCTTGCAGGTGGTTTGAATGCTGGAGCGTGTAACATGAGCAAGAGGTCAATATTTCATAAAAAAATAAATAAATTAAAGACAAATGGCACCTCAGGATAAACACTGACACAAAAAACAAAACTAAACAATATGTCAAAACTCCAGCAGAAWATAAATAAATCTGCAGAATAGCAYGCSAAACAACAGGAAAATAAAGGGACTATTTTAAAGAAATTGCTTTAAGAAAACTGATGAAAAGGAGATTTTCTTCTATATGTTGAGACACTGTAGGAAAATACAGTACATCAACTTCCTACTTTTATTTTGCTACATATGTTGTTTGTGTGATAATTTATCCAGAGCAGAGAGGCTGGACTTCAGAAACCTCACATACAGAACGAACAGAGGACTGGTTACCTTTCCAGCTCAGCAATCTTCTTATCCTTGTCGTTCTTCTCCGTCTCCACCTCGCGCAGGATGTCCAAGAGTCTCTCCACCTCCGTCTGAGCTTTGGTTGCTTCGTCCTTGTAGTAGCTCACTTCCTTCTCCAGCAGCTTGACTCGGTCCACGTACTCTGGGTTCACTCTGGAGCCCGACTGCTGCTCCACCTCGTGAGCTTTCTGCAAATCACACACAAAGAGCAGACACGCACACATGTGCATGCCCCGGTGACACACTCACTTGACATCTAAGTGCCACRATAAGGAGCACCAGGAGTTTCTCCTGTGCTTCTAGGAGGGACAGACACAGTGCAGTCCATCAGATTTACATCCTGTTTTCTCACTCCCGTCTTTGTGTAGAGTAAATTTTGTTGACCAGGGCATCATTACTGTTGCTGGCTCATTAGCTTTAACTAGGCTATTATTTAGCTCAGTTTAAATGGCCCTTTGAGACTCCCCGTCATTTTGCACAATTGGTGAGTCTGCAGGATTGTGTGTGTGTGTGTGTGTGTGTGTGTGTGTGTGTGTGTGTGTGTGTGTGTGTGTGTGTGT